TATGTGTGTGTGTGTGTGTGTGTGTGTGTGTCTGTCTGTCTGTCTGTCAACACGATAACTTGAGAAGGCCTTGATGGATTGTCTTGATACTTGGTAGATGGGTAGGTCTTGATGAGACCTCAAAATGATTAGATTTTGGACCCCCTAGCGGCTTGTTATGGTACTGCAGCAGAACTTCCGGTTTTGATATCTCAAGATCCAGACATGCTATGGTGATGAAATTTGGATGGTAGGTAGCTCTTGTGCTGGGGAAGAAGTGACGTGAGTTTAGGCCCCCTAGCGGCTTGCTCTAGAACTGCAGGGGGGTTTAAAGGACAAATGTTTAAAAGAGGATAACTCAAGAACCGATTGATGGATCATCGTGATTTTTGGTATGTAGGTAGCTTAAGTGATGCTTGACATAATGATGTTACAATTATGCGAATATTTATGTAATTTGCATAATTAATGAGGAAATTCTATAAATCAGCTGCATTCCATGATAGGAAGTTCAAGCTTGTAACATATGTTATTAAGAACGAGAGAAACACAGGCAAATATTGATTATGCAAATGAAGACTTAATTTGCATAATTAATGAGAAAATGTTATAATTGCGTAGTGGTAACTGCCTGGAATTTCATACTTGGGGTGTTTGAAAGTTAAGTGAAGGTGAACATAATTAAACATAACTTATTCAAATAAGGACCATATTTGCATAATTTATGAGAAAATGGCATTCTTTGCTAAGATAAGACTGTCTTTTGGTGGAGAATATGATCAACAGACTGATATAATTCATGCAATTGAGGGTCCTACTTGCATAATCAGGGTGATTAGTATATTTCTTATTCATAAAGGCTAACATCATTTGGCGAAGGTATGAGATCGTGGAACTCTAGTATTTGTTCAGGATTAGTTAATAATGGTGCCATATTGGACTCTCTTCTTTTCATTTATGTATCATGATTCCTTTCTTTATTTTGTATTAAGTGTTTTAAAAATTTAAGTGTTTTGTAAAAAGAGTCTCTTCACTCAGATCTACCCGTCGCTGTATACACTATAAATTTGAGTCGTTTATTTTCCCGTTTCAGGAGATCCAGTGGGTCACGAATACTGTCCTAACTGGACCCCCTGGTACGATCGTGACGACCCGACAGCCACCGGCGACTACGAGACCCTCAGCAGCCTCCGGATGGAACACTTCGGGCAGATCTGCTACGCGCTCTCGGTCACCAAGCTACAGGCCCGCGTCAAGGGCTCCCACGTGCCCGCGGAACAGAGCGGAGATCGCCTGTTCATCTTCGACCCGCGGCTGGGCTTGGCGTGCAGAAATGAAGACCAGGAAGATAAGCAGTGTGAGGATTACGAAGTACGCTTCTGCTGCCCACTAAGCATTGCTGCTCAGCCTCTTCATGCCCGTAGCCAGGGGGGGTTCAGGGGGTTTGGATAACCTCCCCCCCCCCCACAAGGCTGAAAGGTCCACTTTTTGGTCTTTCTTAAAAAGATTGACTGATTCGTATCACCAGCGAGGCTGGAATCATAGAAAAAATTGCTCACTCTATTATTGAATAAAAAGTTATATCTAATTTTTTTTTATTTGAAAACCTCTAAAAAAGGCTGTGAGGAAATGCCATTTTACAAGGTCCATTTTTCAAAATTTTCTGGGGGAGCATACCCCCGGACCCCCCTAGGAATCTCGCAACTTTGGCGCTCGCCTCGCGCCTATGGTGCTCGCTGGTCCCCTCAAGCAGTGGGAAGAACCCCCCATTCAAAATCCTGGCTACGGGCATGCTCTTACTCCTCTGTTATCTTGCAGATTACTCTATATGTTATGCTGAGGTCACAGTTCAAAAGTGGAGCCCCAGTTTGAAAATGTGATTCCAGCATTAGTTTCATCCTTAGTTTACTCACGAAGTACCCATGTAATGTTTTTAGAACTGACTGTAGCCCCAGAGCTCAAATAAAAAACACCAAAGTAGCGATGTGTATAATTTGCTGGCTATATATTATCAAATAATGAAACAAACTGAAATGAAACTGTTCAATAGGGAAATTGTAATATCACCATGCTAAAATACAAATACTAGAGTCCATTCCGCGTCACCGAGTGGGTTTTTTCTCCATGTTTCTAATACGTTTGAATTATTTAGAAGAAAAGAATACCCCAGTAACAAAAGTTCTAAATTTTTCAAAAATTTGAAAATGAAAATTTGAATATATTTGAATTCATTTATATATTTCTGAAACATTTTGAATGTGACTGTACAAAGATCTCTTTCTTTAGAATAAATTTGAACTACCCATGTGTTTCTTTCACAATTCGAAATATTTAGAACTATTTCAAACAAATAACCAAATGGTAGATGTGGGTAATTGCCCCCATAAAAGTAGGTAGCTAATCCTACTCTTCTGTCTTCCTCTGTATATTTTTAGATTTCACTGCTGGACACTGGTGGCTCTTTTGTTGTAAGGCATCAATGCCTGACACCCAGGCAGTCTACCCTGTACTCCACAGGGATGTGTGAATTACTTACTTCCCATCCCACTGACCTATTTACAAAATGTTGGAAATAATTCGAAATAATGGTAAAAAATGGTAGAGTGCTGTTAGAAATATTTAGAAACTATTGGAAATGTCATAATCCACATCAGGAATATTTCAAACGTTTTAGAAAACCAGGGAATTATTTAGAATATTGACAAGATGTTCAAAATATTGCCAAATTATGAAATTTCTTAGACAAACAATTACAAAGAATTCAAAACATTTCTAAATAATGACAATAACAACCCACTCGGTGACGCGGAATTGACTCTAGTATTCATCTTTAATCAGCCAATATTGATAAGAACTTAATAACTTCATCCCTGTATCACATACTGTATCTTGTAGTTTTTCTTAGTTTTATTTCTTATTGAAGAACATAAAAAAGTACAAGACTACTGTAGCTATAATGAGCAACTCTAGGGATTGCAAATTTTAGCCTCACCACTGACAAATAATTAAGACAGAGAAGACTTTACCCACTATAAACCACAATACAATTTATAACAGATTGGCAGATAGAAAATAATACAAAATAAGGTGTAAAAACTGGATCATCGAATTGTGAAATTAAATGGTTTTCCGTAGTCAGTTCTAAACTTTCATTTAAATATCATTATGTAATGTTCAATAATCGTTTTGTGCCTGCTATAGGGGCTAATGTGTTAGAGTCAACATTTTTCTGTTTCTGGACAAAAAAGATGTACCCTAAAGTAATAGATGATAATTCAACACTTACAACAGTTTTGACTCAGAAAAGAGCAATGGAAACAAAATCCAAAAAGTTCATCAAAGTCATTTTTACTCCAGTTAATGAGTATAACAGTGAGGATATTGGACAACTGGAATACATTTACTAAGTACTACACAAAATTGAATGCTTTTTTTATAGAAACAGTTCTTTGCCAGATTGCTTAATCATTGGAAATGTCAAATGTCAGTTGTTGTGCTGGTGCAGTGAAGTAAAATTTGTGATGTAGATGGTCTGAAACAAGCTGGTCTTGTATCGGCCACAGTAGAGACTTTGTTGTGTTGCTGTGCTCATCAATAAAAACTTACCCTACTATCAAATTTTGCTCGCGTACGGTTGTCTTATTATCTATAAACCAAATCACTTACCACATAGGAGTACTAGTGAATAAAACCTATTTTCCCTTGAGTTTGGAAATTGAAATTTTCTTGGACAATTAAAAGGTTTTACCGAAGAGCATAGAACATTTTGCCCGTGGAAGTCTTGCCCTTCTCTTCCCTTTAGTGTAATTTTAGCATATGTGGATGAGTTAATACTGCAACTCTGTAAGGGCACTACTTTGCCTCCTGGTATCTGCTTGGTTTTCATTCATATGGTAATGTATCCTACAGCGAAAATTCCACTTCTGCAAAGGATTTGACCACTTCCGCATGCGATCAGCTGATTGTAAAATCACATTTTGATTTATATCTTGAGAATCGAGAAATTTTAGACATTACGCGGTTTTCGGAATATATATCATATTCCTATATGATATGTATTCCGAAAACAGGGGCACATAAAAATGCCAAAAGTTTTTAAATTATTTTCATCAGTGACTATATTGCTCAGTCTATACATGGTTCACTGCAGAGACTTACCCTGTCGCCGCTAGGACTTTCTGCATACAATTTCCCAGAAAAAGATCTGCAATAAAGTACTAGTCGCACATACTCTTACCAACGATTTGTAACAGTTCTCTCTGTGCCGGATGCAGATTTGCTGCAATGACGATTTCAGCCGTTTTGCGGCGCTGCTATTTTCCGTCTCGTAAACGGTCGATGCCATTTGAAACGGTCGATGCCATTTAGCTGAATGGTCAGTGCCATATCCGAGCGTCCAAAAACGACTAAAACGTAATATATTTTATAATTTATATACTATAAAAAGCAGTATTCTAATTGCAAATATAAGGGAATATGTTTATCAGAATATTCTGATACATGAATACTTAAACAATATTTTTTTCCTGAAGATCAACCACAGACTTGTTGGGAGTGTTTTGACGGTCATGTGCCGTTCATTTTGGGAAGAAGACTGCCTACAAATTTCGCATACGAGCGGCTATTTAACACTGCGCACGTCTGCCTTGTACACGTATACTACGTACGTGTTGCGGTTCTGATTTATATTGCTACATGGCGCTGTGAGACAGTCGGGTGAAGATACTAGTATAAGGTAACTTGTTATGAAATAAAGAAGGTAACAAAAAAGCACTGCACCATTCAATTTCTCTTTATTGTAAGATAACCCCCATACAGACTGACAGGGACATGTTTTAAACACGAGAAACCATCTGTACCATCCATAAGGATAGTCGTGGCATTAAGATGGAATGACAGCTTTATATTGAATTTCGTATCTTCAAGCGAACCATTCATTCATTCATTCATTCATTCATTCATTCATTCATTCATTCATTCATTCATTCATTCATTCATTCATTCATTCATGCATTCATTCATTCATTCATTCATCTGAATATGTGACTGTCCCTGTGTGCGTGCGTCGAGTCTTCGTCGTTAGACGGACTCCATGCCCTTTTGATATAGCTGGGGAGGGGGGCCAGATTCTGATGATGATCATCCGACAACTCATCACTGTCTGTTCGTTGGCTGAGACTGTAGCGAGGCGAGACATACCGCCTTTGGTACAAGTCTCTGTCTCCAAAGTCTCTCGTAAAGACCACATCGGTGAGAGATCTTTCAGACGAGTTTAAGGAGCTACGCCTAGACACGAGGTACTGATCTGGATAAGAAGAGTCTTCATGCCCGAAATGTCCATCAGATGCACTGTAATTGCTAACTGATCTGTTTCCAGTATTGATGTATTTACGCAGTAAAGCTGGCTGTCGGACATAACGGTCCTGGTACGATTTAAGAAGTTTCTTTCTCCTCCGCTCCTGTTGAAGAAAACGAAATAGTAAATGTTAGAAGCACTTGACATGGCAGGAAGAGATTACTCTCCAAGCAGAGGTAGGGTCGCTCGGTATTGTGGCAGTATTTTCGCGTTTTTAATACGTCTTTCTACTTTTACGGTTTTTCTCTGGTCTTCCTCCCCTTACCAGAGAAAAACCGTAAAAGGT